CGATGCCTATGCATATACCAAGGGAGAGCCCAACTAAGAGGAACCCGGCTAAAGGGAGACCATCATGCGACACAAGCAGGGTACTGTACAGGGTAGAGTGGTAAGAGAGTGRCGACGTCTGAAGTAGGCAGAGCTGATCGTGATGAAGTCCATGAAGCCGCCGATGACGTCCACGATGAGAAGTCCGGAATGCCGTCGAGGAAGATCCGCAGCGTCGACGAGCTGAAGTAGCAAAACTGATGTGGATGGAGTACTGAGAAGTCAAAGACGTGGGAAGGTAAGTCAGAGTCAATCGTCGTATCGAGTAGGACGACGACGAGTGCGCTATGGACGCTCAGAGGCATCCGGCTGCTGCTGAAGGTCTGCCTCAGATGGAGCAGGCTCGACTTCAGCGGTCTCCTCAGCCGGAGGAGAAGGAGGAGGGTCAGTGGGCTGAGGAGGAGCAGTGAACCTAGCACAACGAGCATGATCATAGGCACGCACCAACATGCGAGCGTGCTGCAAGTGCTCGAGGGGCTCCCAGGTAGCCTCCTCATCAGGGTAACCCTTCCAACATACGAGATACTCGACGTGGGGAGGGTTGTCGTCGGTGACTCGGCGACCAATGATGTCTGAAACGAGGAACTCCTCGTGGCCGTCCACCATGATGGGTGAAGGGCGCTCGTATGGTCGTCCAGCGAAACACTCAGACGGTCTGCGGTAAGGACGCAGTAACGAGACGTGGTAGACATCATGCACACGAGCCTGGCGTAGGTAGTCGGGCAGCTTCAAACGAAAGCTGACCGGGCTAGATGCCATATCAGAACCGACGGCCTGGAGGATGCGGCATGGGCCAAAGAAGCGACGCCGAAACTTGCGAAGCGTGTCCGCTTCGAGCTGTAAGTGGCGGGCGTCGATAAGCACATCATCACCGACCTTGAATGGGTGATCCATCCTCGATCGGTTCGCACGTGCTGCCATGCGAGTCTGGGAAGCGGCTATGTGCTCATGTGCGGTCTTCATAATCGACGTCATGTGTGCAACCCAATCATCCAGCGCGGGACAACTCGTCTCGGGGTGCATCTGAGACGGTCGAAGGAAGTCCGCGGGAACACGCGGGTGATAGCCGAGGTTGCAATAGTAAGGCGACATCCCTGTGGCTGGCGAGACGGCGTGGTTGTAGGCTATCTCCACGTGGGCAAGATGGAGATCCCACTGCTGGTCGTCACGAACAATCTTTCGGAGAATATCCCCGAGAGTCCTGTTCATGATCTCGGTCTGACCATCAGTCTCAGGATGGTAAGACGAGGAGAAGCGAAGCTGAGTGCCGTACACCTCGTGGAGCCGTCGCCAGAATCGGCTGGTAAAGCGCGGGTCACGGTCAGATATGATGTTTAGGGGCAAGCCGTGGTCACGCACGACTCGGTCAAATACGATGTTGGCGACCTCATGTGCACTCATGGCATAGTGGCACGGAACAAAGCGTGCACGCTTCGTGAAGCGGTCGACGACGACCAGAATAGCATCATGACCGCGGGGGGTCGGAGGTCGAAGAGGACCGATAAAGTCCATCGAGATGGACTGCCAACGACCCTCAGGGATAGGAAGAGGCTGGAGCAAACCATAAGGTAGGTGGTTCGCACTGTTCACCTCCTGACAGGTGTGACACTCTGCGATGTAATCCTTCACAAAGTCCTTGCGCTTCGGCCAGAGGTACAGGCGGCTCACACGAGCCAACGTCTTGTGGAAGCCCATATGACCGGCAGCTGCCTAGTCATGGAACTCTGCTACTGCTCGGACACGTAGCTGTCCACTGGAGGGAACACAAATACGGGGCTCTCTGGTGCCCTGTGAACCGTGCCAGTACACAAGACCTTGTCCCCGAGAGAGTAGTTCGGGACGGTCTTGCCACTCCGAAGGGTCGCGTGGATGTCGCGATAGTCGGGGCAGTGGCGGTACTGAGTGCGAAACTCGTCAATCACCGAATGGTGGACGGTGCTGACCGAGATGGAAGAGAGCTAGATGTGCTCCTGGTCGTGGTCAAGGCGCCGGGATAGGGCATCGGCAACCCGATTAGTCTCACCCTTAACGTGCTCAGTGGTGAAACTAAACTCGGATAGGTCGCGCCACCAGCAAGCCTGTCAAGGAGTGAGCTTCGACTTTGTTAGAAAAGCCTAGACAACAGAGTTGCCCGTGCGCACCGTGAATGGTGCCCCGTGCAGGTAGTGACGCCAGTGCCGAGCGGCATAAACTACTGCGAGAACCTCACGTTCATCAGCAGTGTAATTTATCTCGGCGGGGAGGAGCTGACCGGAGTAGAAGGCTATCGGGCAATCACCTGAGCGAGACTCGAGAGTGCCGTCCTTGGCGATGGTAGGAGAATAGTCAATAAAAGGCTCGTCAGTAGCTGGACGAGTAGGAGTCAGTCGGGAAGCAGTGGTAGGGGTAGGTGGTGGGAAGCGAGGGATACGAGGATGAGAGCAATCAGGAGATGAGGGGAAGACCTGAGAAAACACTGCTCCTACAGCGAAGTCTTACGCATCGGTGGTAAGGATAAAAGGGCGGTCAAAATCGGGTAGGTGAAGAACCGGTGCGCATGTCACCGCCTTCTTAAGGGCGCGGAAGGCATCCTCGTGGAGGGGTGTCAAAGCCCGGGGTGGGTTCTTCCGGAGAAGGGTGGAGGTAAGGACGTAGAAATACCTAGCGTATCCCCGGATGAAGTTACTATAGTAGCTAGTCAGGCCTAGGAAGCAGCGAAGCTGCTTGGCGGATGTGGGAGCGGGCCACTCCGCAATAGCAGTGATCTTCGCGTCGTCTATGTGGAGACCCTGGTCAGACACGTAGTGTCCTAAGAAATCCACTTTGTGCTGGGCAAAGCGGCACTTGCTTAGCTTGGCGTAGAAGCCATGTCTGCCAAGCGGTCAAGGACGTCGCGGAGGTGTCTGAGGTGCTGCTCAAGGGTACGACTATAGACCAGGATATCGTCGAGGTAGACGAGAACGTACTTCTCCAAGATGTCCCTGAAGATGTCGTTCATCGCCCTCTGGAAGGTAGCGTGTGTATTCGTGAGGCCGAATGGCATCACTGTGAACTCGTAGTGGCCGAATCGCGATCGGAACGCTGTCTTCGGCTGGTCGGTTGCAGCGACGCGGATCTGATGGTAACCGCTACGAAGATCAATCTTCGTAAAGAAGCGGTTGCCAACTAGGCGGTCGAACAGCTCATCGGAACGAGGCATGGGGTAGCTGTTCTTAACCGTGTAGCGGTTGAGGCCGCGGTAGTCGATGAAGAGACGAAGAGTTCCATCCGCTTTGCGAGCAAAGAGGACGGGTGCACCCCACGGGGAGTTGCTGGGCTTAATGAAACCCAGTCTCAGGAGCTCCTCAAGCTGACGCTTGAGTTCGGTGGCCTCGGGGATCGAGAGTCTGTAGGGTGCCTGGTGGTGAACACGATAGTCAGGCACGAGCTGAATGGAGTGCTCGACGTCACGCATCGGTGGGACGCCGGCGTATGAGAACGACGATGGGAAAACGTCGTGGTACTCTCGGATGAGGTCACGAACTGCGGGCTCCAAGTCAGCCGTATATCGTGCGAGTTCCTCAGCGTCAGCGTCAGCGCGCGACGACGGGGTGGACTCGACGGACGGCGGAGGGACGGAAGTAGAGATGGGAGCCATGGAGATAGAGGGAGGATCTGGCTCCAGAGGGAGGAGCTCGGCGTCAGGACAAGGTGGATCATAGTGTAAGAGATCCGTCACGTCCACCATAAAGAAGGTGACGTAGTCCTGTCGAATGAAGTAAGCGAACTGCCGAGGCGAGGTGACAGTGATAGAGGGAGATGGTGTGGGCACTGAAGGCTCCGGGGGAGGAGGATTGGGGCGTGGTGTCGCCGTGGTACCTATAAAAGGTGCGCGATACGTCTGTCCACACTTCGTTTTGAGAACGAGAGTGTTGGTCGCCCAATCGGCCTCGGTGCTGCGGAACTGAGGAAACCATGAAGTGCCGAGAATGAAGTCGTACCCCGTCTCCATCACATCGAAATGTGCAGAGGAGCGGTGGCGACGAGACGCCGGGGAACGCTCAGTCGGCTTGAGAGTGAGGAAGAAGGGGAGGTCGGTGACCGTCTGATCGAAGAAGCGCTGGGTCTTGTCATCCCCTAGGGTAAGGGAAATGGGAGTCGGAGACCCTGTCGTGGGTAAGCGGGCTTCCTTCACCACGCGTGGGTGAATGAAGTTGCCATGAGAACTGGAATCCCACAGCGCTGAGTACACCCTCGTGGAGGTCCCGAGTCGTACGGGGATGATCAGGAGGGTGCGATCAGGGTCAGAGAGGATGGCGAGAAGGCGGCGCAGTGCAGCGACATGGAGGGTGAGTCACTCCTGACGAGCCTGGAGCATGCTCAAGTCCAGAAGAGAGGACACAACGTCCTTGCGAGTAGCAAGCTGCTCGCTGCAACGGGCTGAGCGAATGGCTCGACGCG